TGTACTAATATCTAAAAAAATATAGATTTTAAATAGAATTTATAGTAAGAAATTACACTTTCAACCACAAACCCTCTGTTATAATTGCAGATAAATCGCCATTTTGAGAGTCTTTTCTCTTACAATGTAATTAACAAGTCCTACTACGTAAATGTGCTTATTTACTTATTCTGTATGTAACTTGGACCTGTTTTAAAGCCTTTGCAATACTCTCTACATATCAATTTGTCTACACTGATAGTACTTTTTTGTGCTTCATAAGGCTTGTTATATTACCAACATTTTGCACTGAAAATGTTTTAACATACTAAATAGTTACGGATAAATAAAATTAAACTAACTGTTGAAAGCATTACAGAAATTAAATAATTAATTACTACTTACTGTAAGAAGTTATTGACGCCTCTTTAATGTAATCATAGGATGGTATTTGTGGTATTTGTTGAATATAAAAGTAGAATAAACATGTAAATTACTGTAACTTGGTAACATTGACGTAAACAAATGCTTTTTAACAGGTGCGATGTAAACTCTTCACAAATGCTACAACAAAATACAAACGCAGCACTTATTATCACTTTAGTGAAATATTTGTGTATTATAATGTAAAGCATTCATTTGTAACATTGAAAAGACCAGTACGTTACCTTCAGTGGTCATATAAAAGTAACACTTTTACATGTTAGTGTACCATTTTCACACTTCAGATCTATGCTGTAAGATCGAAAGTACATAAAAAGAAGATGCTATTTTAACTGATTAACTTGATTGAAAGACTAATCCACCTGGGCAGATCTCAAGACCACTAAATGTATTTTACAGCCACATTCTTTTTAAACACCTTTAGCGCCCCAGTAGGCTTTTTGATACATAAACACCCACATCTAGAATATGTTTAATTATATTTGAGGGTACAATTTCTTCGTTTTGTGTTAAAAAATATAGAAATAAACAAACGTTAGTGTTGAAGAAAAGCATTACAATAAGTAAATATAACCACACATAACCCTCAAATGATTCTTGATTTTTACTTACCTTTTAGGCATTTAATCAAAAAATCGAGAGCTCTATCTTCTTCAAAATTTTTAGCGCTTTTATCCTATACTAAATTCTTGTTCTAAAAGGCCTTAATTACAAATCAAAATATATTGTTTTTCTTTTCCGATAAGAGCGGCTGTCAATAAACGAAGAATTACAGTAGGGCCAACTTAATTCTCCGTACAACTTCTAAATTCAAAAATCACTAATGGGGGATACCTTTCTTAACTTATGCTCTCCTAATACAAAATTTGAAATTTTAAGTTGCAACACAGATTTCGTAAAATGTCCGGCGCCTCCACCAAAATTAACACAAATAGGACAATGATACTCTCTTATTTTAGATATTGTATTTTTATTGTACCTTGCAAATCCACTGATAATTTTAATTTCTATTATTTCTTTTCTGTTTTTAACTATATTAAAAATAAATAATAAGGAGTAGTAAAACAATTTATAAAGTTCAATTATTTATTTTTCAATTTTATTACACTTACTATGTTATATAATTCTTGTGGCTCGTTACTATAAATAAATTACTGAAAGTACATGCATATATACTTGTAGTTTATTGAGTAGGAATAATAAAAAGATATAACAAATAAATCAGCGTAATATGTATACAGATATAATAAATAATTAGTATAATAAACCTTAAAAAGCTACGTTTTGTTACCACGGTTAACAAAAACATAGAGAGAAGCAGGAGAGACGACGTCATAGTCAGTTTTTCTGTGGAGTACATGTTCCATTTTCTGGTTCTTTGGTTTTCACAATACCCTCCAGGTCAGACACTGCTGCTGAAACTTGGAACAGGCGTCCAAAAACGTCTGACAAATCATTATCAGGATTTGTAATTACGAAACACTCTGAAAAGAAAGGAGAACATTATCTGTGGAAAAGGAAACACTCAGTGGGCATTTTGTACATTTTTAAGTTAAATTTGAATGTTTTTAAGTATTTAAGGACTTACCTGGTCTTTCAGCAACTGTCCTCTTGCAATAGACGTTCAGTATGAGGACCAGGTCATCCCCAGTGTTATCTAGAACTGTATCCAATTCTCCACTCAGTTGTCCTCGATGATGTTTGACGAAGGAAATTGCTGAAGACCACCGTTCATTGACGATGTGCTCGAAGAGGGTGGATTCTAATTCGTCGACGTTTGCTGAAGCTGGTGATGCCACAGTTGAGCACACAGGCGTTGGAGTACCACCGTCTGCTTCCCGATCTTCCAGAGCTCTGTTCAGGGCATTTCTGACTGACACCAGTTCTGCTGCAAAGTCTCTCAACTGAAAAAGGAAATAAAGATAATAAATATAGACAAAATTACAAAATTACTGTTACTGTTCACCTGGGAACTTTTAAGGGTCGCATTTAACGTGGAAATCATCTTATTCGCTGATTCGACTAACAGCAACAGTTGAAAATGCATTTTGTAAAGAGCTTTCCCAAGATCCAGTAAATATTCTTCGTGTCTTGAATCTGGATGTTCACCACTTAACATTTCCAATTTCAAAGACGTCTTTACAGCATCCGAATACTGAAAATTAATATTAATTTATAATATTTGAATCCATTATTACTAAAAGGGGACGACTCACCATAGTTGCTTGATATTTCTTGTCACACAATGTTTCCAGATGTTCCTGGACTTCCAGGATTCCATATCGCAACGTTTCAGATAAACGAATATTATTTAAAGACGTAGAATTGAACCAGATGTATTGGATAGGTAAGATCCTGTTGGTGAGGATATCGATCATTGAATTTAGACGTGAACTTATTAATTTTATCGTTGGAAGACCTGATGATGCAGACTGGGACAAGAAAGCACAAGACTCACGAGTTATTGTGATGGTTGAGGTGCAGATACACTGCAAAAGTAAACATATGAGCCCTATTATAAAAAGAATGTCTGTCTAACACTAAAGTTTTAAGAACAATTATTGTAGACACACAATAATTTCTTCACCACACAGTGGCTTTATCAGGTGATGATTAACCATCATTACCACACAGTAGCTTTATCAGGTAATAATTGATCATCATCGCCACACAGTGACTTTATTTGGTGATGATAACCAATATCACCACACAGTGGCTTTGTCAGGTAATTATTAATTATCCTCACCACACAGTGGCTTCATCAGGTGATGATTTACCATAATTACCACACAGTGGCTTCATCAGGTGATGATTAACCATTATCACCACACAGTGACTTTATTAGGTGATGATGACCAACATCACCACACAGTGGCTTTATCAGGTGATGATTAACTATCATTACTACACAGTAGCTTTATCAGGTGATGATTAACGATCTTCACCACGCAGTGGCCTCATCAGGTGATGATTGATCATCATCACCACACAGTGGCCTCATCATCATCTGATGTTATCATTTACAATAAATTTTCTTGAAACTTTGGTGTTTTGCTTCATTACAACATGTTTTGATTTTTGACTTACACGAATAAGACGTTGCAACTGATGGAATAATTCCAAGGTATTTGTGGGAGTTTGGCTCATCATATTCTGAATGAAATTGGACCAGGACTCAACGGTATCATTTCTTGTACTGGGTCTAATATTGATCATCTGGGACAAGTTGGGGGATGCGTTACATGGTGTCACATCACCTAAATCTCCTGCACTCGAACCGCTAGAAAATTAGGAAACAAATAGACGTTTTTTTATGTTTTTAAATAAAAATGTATTTTCACCTTGTGTCTGATCGAGTGCTGGAGTCCCTTCGGGTCCTATGTTCTCCTAGGCTTAAAGACGAGGGTAGAAACACTGCACTACCACCTGCTGAACTGTTCTCAAACTCTGGAGCGACTGCAATTTCGTCCAGGGGTGACTCTGAACCAATTTCATCATCTGACGATTCTTCAGTGGTAACCCTCTAAAAATAAATAAATAATTACAAGACAAAAAATAAGGTAAAAACTAGAGACTTTACCTTTCGGATCGTTATGACAGGAGTACGTTCACTGACACTCTCTTCCAGCAGTCGCATACTAGGGGACTCTTCCTCCCCTTCACTCAAAGGCCGTCGACGAACACCCCAGTTAAAGTTATCCGTACTTTCACCCTACAAAACAAAAAATACAGATTTTGATTATTAGTTTTGTTTTTTGATTTAAGAAAAGATGCAATACCTCAATGCTTTCGCTCTCATATTCCAAAAAGTCAAAGTCCTTGAACACTCCAAAGTCGGTGGCTGCGTCGTCCCTCCTCGAACCCCCGCTGAGGTCATTATTTGCAGCGGACATTTCCTCAGTACTCGATGCCATGCTCGATTGACGCTCTATCAGGTCCGAACTTTGACTGAAGATGACCTTTTGGAAATAAAATATTCAAACACATATTAGAAAAAAAAAAAATTTTTTTAATCTTCAAGCTGGACGTACGGTATTGTAAGCGCAAAGTGTAATAAGAATAATAATTGTGATTTATGTGATTAATATATATGTACAAATAATATTATAATACATACACCCTTGTCTAGTAAAGATTTATTTTAGTACGTTTGTTTTTAATTTGTGTTTAAGTTAAAGAAACTAAAAAGTTTTGTAACTCAGAAAATAATTGTTTCTTTAAATTGTCATCAACGAATAAAATTATTACGAGATAAATAAATAAGTTTAAATTCTGTTTACATTAATTTTTAGCTTCTTTTCTTGGTCGCATAATTTTCTTTGTAGTTAGCGAAACTAAGTGGAAAAGAAACATAATAAAAAGCTTCGCAAAGCATATAATAAACGTTTTTGATCGAACAATTAATTAATTATGGATTTTCAAATTAATTTTTATACAATATAAAAATAGTTATAAATTATCGAAAATATTACTGTTAACTACTTTAAAGTCTAAATTGAAACACATAGAATGTATTAATGTGGAAAGTGGAAAATTTACACACTATTTCCTCTACTAGAAAAATGAGGGAGTGTTTTGATTTTAGTAAGTATAAAAGTACAAGTGGAAGCTTCAACAAAAGCTTTGCGAATGGTGAAAAGCTGCACTGGGTAATATGCAGTAGCACAAGTGTAATGTTATGTACGCAAACATTATTATGTCCTTTTTATTGGAAGCCGTTACCTTGCAGTATATTAAGTTTATAATGTCATCCTATTTGGGGGTAGTACAAAAAGAAAATCATGTCATTCACCATTCACGTATTTTATAAAAAAAAAAATAAAATTATTTACAGTGACAGAGAAACATCACCAACAATGCGAAGACAAACGAATAAAATAATACTCACTTGTTAAATACTGTACATCCAATTATTCAAAAATTTCATGGTTATTTACAACAAAACTTTTTTGCATTAATGTTACACAAAACA